AAAGAGGAGAGGGAAATGGAGTGAGCAGGTTCAGGCTCTTTTCTTGCTGGAAACAGAAACCACTTTTTATTATCACTATTGATACTGAGGTATGTGAGATTTAAGCCACATCAATATTCAAAATAAAGATAAGTACAGCTGTACACGAACTGGCATCAGTGAGTGACAACCACACCTGCCACGAGCACGCGCCCTGTGTGGCCCATTGATATCCACACTGCAGAAATTATCTTACTACTCTCCCAGAGAGCTGTTAGGGCAAGTAGTGTCACCTTCGTCCACTCTGAATCACCCTCTCAGAAAACTGAGGCTCAGAGAGGCCAAGTGACTTACCTATAGTCACACAGCAAGGACTGGAACCTGGGTGTGTCTGAGTCCGGAGCCTCGCTCTAGACAGGGTTCTGGGCCTCCATACTGTGCAAGGGTCACGGCGCTCACTCCCCGCCAGGCCCAACACACACCCTCAAGGCTAATCCTATCCAGGGTCACTTGCACACGCTGGACTGTGGTGCTGACCTGGCTCAGAGGGAACAGCCAGGTGACCCTTGGGAACCTCACCCGTCGGGAGTAGGGATTACTAACAGCTCCAGCCTCGGGTTTTCAAGGACCTAACTTGCTGTGTACTTTGGAAAGGTGGCCTGGGCCTCAGTTTCCCTTCCTGTAAGATGTGGTCAGACTGACAGCCCTCAGAGCCTCAGCAGTGTCCCCATCAGCACAAGGCTGGCCCCCTCTTCCTCACTCCCTCCCTCCCTGACCTGCCTCTGGGCGTCACCAACCTGACTTGGTCCTTGCAGGAGGGCTGGCAGCCTGGGGAGGCGGGATGGAGGCTGCAGGCAGCTGGGGCAGGCTGGGGGTCCAGTCCTCGGAGATGGGGCTGACGCTGAGACACCCCGTCGATGTGGGCCTGCCCTGCTGGAGCCAGGGGAGCTTGGGGTGCCAGTCCCACTCTCAGGTGATCAAGATCTGAGCCAGAGGCCAGGCTGCTTCTCCCCCAGCTCACTTGGCCACACCCCTGTGAATAACGCCACTTGCCTCATGGAGCCAGGCCTCACCGGGCTTTGATGACTTGGTGGGTGGCACGAATGGGTGGAAGACAAGAAAGGTTAGAGACCCCGCCACCTAGGCTTAGAGCACAGAAATGGTTATGTTGCTGGAGGAGGTACCTTTATAAATTCACTTTGTGCCCCCCAGCCTCTCAGGTCTCCAAATCCATCCATGACTCTCAAGACCCCCCTCCAGGCCCTGGCGCCAGCGCAGGGCTCCTTCCCACCCCTACCTCAACCACAACAATAATTAACCCCAGTGAACCCCAGCAAATAAAGATCTGAATCACAGAAGGGAGGAGTCATTGTTGCCCCAGGACGGGGAACTCCGGAGGTCCCAGGAAGGCCAAACCTAGCATCGTCTAACACCCCACTCCCCGCATCATTGTTGCCTGAGTAGGTCCATGGGTACCCAGCCCACTGGGGCCTGGGAGGAGGGCTCACCTTTCTCGGGTTTGGGCCAGAGTCTTCTCCACCATCCAATTAAAAACAATATTTTAATCTCTTTTTTCCATTCTCTTGAGCCTGTTTCCTAATCTTTGTATGAATCCATCTCTTTATTTACTTAACAAAAGTTTACTGAGCAGCTACTATGTACCACACCCCAGGGAAGCAGAGTGGTCCAAGGAATAGGAAGGAACTGTCTCTGCCAATCCCCACCCCCTTCTCCTTTGGACAGCCTGTTCTGACTGGCACTCATCTGTCCCTCGGCGGGTAAATACTGAGCAACGACTGGGTACAAGCCACTGTGCTGGGTGTGATGTGTGTGTGAGTTTGTGTTGAGGGCAGGCAGGTTGGAAGTTACGGAGGAGGCTCGGGGAAACATAAGGAGGTTTGTGCAGGGTCAGTGCCTTCGGGAAGCTCACAGTGCAGCTGGCTATGGGGCCGAGACAGCTATGTGGTCATTTATACTTCCCCCTCTTCTGGGGCACACAGGAAGGCCACAATTCCAAGTCACCCCGCGGTAGCTGGGGCCAGATGCCTGTGTTCTGGCCAACGGGGGTGAGGGTGCAAGTAACATGCACCACTCCCAGACCTGGAGCTAAAGCTACCTTTCCATGTTGTCTCTTCCATTCCCATGGCAATCATGGTGGCCTGTGTTGGAGGTGGAGGCATCACAAGATGGAAGGAGCCTGAATCCCCAAGTCACCACTTGGAGGAGGGCCACAGGATCCATACTGGATTGTGATGTGAGCAAGAAATATATCTGTATTGTGTGTAGCCACTGACTGAGACGTTTGGGGTTGTTTGTTACAACAACTAGTGTTACTTACCCTGACTAATACAGGCAGATGACACAGACATGGGGAGCACACTGAATCCTGTGGTTAGATCACAGTGTGCAGGAGGGATCATTGCTGGGTAGTGCATGACAACTGCTGTCTAATGCCAGCTGGTAGATGAGGTCAGAGGAAAGGCAAGACACAGGAGGTGCTGGCATATAGTAGGTGCTCAATAAAATTGGTTGAATAAGTGTAATGCATGAAAAACTGCTGTGAGAAGCCAAACAGGGAGCCAGGATAGGTGCAGGCCTGCCTGGCCAACCACCCAGAGCCTTTCATCCCAGGATTCAGTCTCAGAATTCATTCTCACCTTTGTGAGCAGGATCCTGGAAGCAGGGAAGGGGAGCACCAGTGGCTGGCTGGATGTCAGGATGGGCTGACAGAGAGGAACGGGGAAGAGACTGATAAACCAGGTGTCCTGCCACCCCACATGCTCTGCTGCCAACCCTATGGCCAAGGGAACCCAGATGCCAGCCCCACTCTGTTCTCCTACACTTCCCTGCACTGGGTGGATGGGCGATATCTACCTTCTGATTTATACCACAAAAACACTATTTCCAGTTTAAAACAAGGCAAATGTTTTAATTAAAAATTCACACACAGAAAAATGCACATATCATTACAGTGTAGCGGGGTGCGTTTTTACAAACTGAACACACTCGAGGGTCAGTAACACCCAGATCAAAGCCAAAGCATTTCCATCCTTCCAGAAAGTTTCCTCGTGGCCCTTTGCAACGAGTGTGCGCCCCCTGCCCCCTCAAGCAGCTGCTGGCTGATCTCCGCCACTCTGTCAGTCCTGCCTGCTCTTGAACTTTCTGTAAGGGGACTCGCAGCAAGTCCCGTTTGTGTCTGGCCCCTTCCCCAGCTTGTGGCCGGTGAGATGGCAGTTCATCTCCACTGTCACCTGCGTGGCTGCCAGCTGCTCCTCTTATTCCGCAGGTTGCACGGCTGTAGCCGTTTGTCTGTCCGCTCTCCTGTTGGTGGACACTGAGGCGGCTTCCACTTTGGCTGCGGGGAAGGACGCTGCTATGGTCACTCAGACACGTGTCCCACGCGGACGCCTCCTCAGCGCTGCTGGGCGAACACCGGGCCGAGGGGCCGGGTTATGGGCAGGTGGATATTTACCCCCCCCCGAAAGGCCGGGCTGTTTCCCAAAGGGGCTGCGCCACTTGTCCCCCCATCGGCAGTGAGGGCTCAGCTGCTCCACGACCCACTGTCCGCACTTAGCGTTGCCCGAGCCCTTCCGGCGGCCGAGGGCGGGCTCGCCGGGGTTATAATTGGCATTTCCCCGAAGGCCAGTGATGTTGGCATCCTTTCACGTGCGTATTGGCCGTGTGTGCATTTCCTCTGGTGAACCGTCTGTTCAAGTCTTCCTTAGTTTGTTACTCTCCCATCTCTCATCCCAAAGTCCCCCCCTCTCAGCATCCTCTCCTCCGAGGGGACCCAAACAGTCCTCAAACTGGTCTCCTGCACCTCCGGTGGGCTGATACCGTCCTTGAGCGCTGTGGGGAAACCACACAACCCAGCAAGTATGTGAAAGGCAATGGCCACTTCAAGCAGCCAGACGCGTCGGTGGTGAGCGCCGGCCTGTTAGGTTGTAAGCCTAAAAGAAATCTTGCCCTTGTATAAAGAACTGGAGGCACAAGCTCCTAAGAGTTCACGAAGGAAAACACCAAGGAAGAGGGAAGGAATCTGTCATTAGTGCTCCTGACAGGCCTCTGTCCGTCCCTGTCCCTGTCCCAAAGGGCTCCTGCCCTCACCATAGGAGACTTCATTTTTGGAGGGACTTCCATGTGAGACCAGGGGAAAGTAAAACAGAAGAGAGAAAAGGCGAAATCGGAGAGGGGGGTTTGCAGGGAGCCAAGTGGCCTGTGCCTCTAGAGCAGTGCTGGGGGGGGGCTGGGCTGGCGGGAAGGGGCCAGGACCCAAGTCTTGGGGGCTGTCTGCCGTGGCCTCGTTCCTGGGTTCAGGCCTGGGCACCCCTGGGTGAGGGAGGGACCCCACCGGGAATGGTGAAGCCTGGATGTGTTTTCTCTGCAGCTGTCCCTCTCACCCCCCAAACCACCGGGCTAGAGGGCTCCCCTCCACGGGACACGCGTCTGCCAAGTGCTGCCGAGAAAAACACTCAGGCTGTGGGATAAAATTGCTGCAACCGGAGCAGGGCGAGTGGACCGGAGTTGCTTGAGGTCAGGCGGTCAGAGCC